GAGTCGCGAGATCTGTCACGTTGCGTTTTCGGACGGCTCGTCCGTTTTCCTGTATTTCTAATTGAGATTCCATTGTAATAAAGAGTTTAATAGTAAACCGCGCTCTCTCTCATTTCCGCGGACAAGTGCGCGATCGCGGAGACCGGCGTGAGAGCTGTTTCCGACGCCGCGAGCGCAACAATATATATGTGTATTGATAAATTGATCCGTCTAACAGATCGCGAGAATGAAAGGGAGAATAAAGAACGCGTGGAATTGAATCCACGGCAACACAAAACTCGGCAGTAAAACTGACTCCTGAAAAAAAAAAGCGTTTTATATCGCATATATAAAAGCGCGATATAAAGGTTTTAACTGAAATATCACACGGTCTATGAAAACATGTTTGAGCGATTTCGGGGGGAGGGGCTGGTGGAGGTTGCCGAGAGAGAGAGATCGCTATCTCGCGCGATACAGAGATACAATTTAGCCGTGAACCCGTTCGACCTCTCGTGGATTTTAAACGTTCCCAGGCGAAAGATATTGCGAACATTGTTTTAATTGCTCGCGCAGATAACTGCGCCTGATAACGTCGCGCTGTAATACCGTTTTATTACTTCGATCGAATGAATTTCTTTACTCGTTTTCCATGACGAGATAGGTCTGTAAAGGGGAATCAGAGGTCGATCTCCGCTTCCAAAATAGGCAGAGATTAGTACGATGTCAATTAAACCGAGCGCTTCTGTCCAGGTGATCGAGCATACGGATAACGTGATGGCACAGGAGACGGAGGATATGGCGACGCTCCAAGTGGTCTCGGTCATGTCTTTGCCACCTGTGGGTTCCACTCAGACCGTTGAGACATCCAGTCCTGATCCTAGTTCGCCTCCGTTGTCCCCGCAACCAGCCGACATGGTGCCGGTTGAAGAAATCAAAGAAGAAGAGTCCCGTTCGGGCAGTCCGAAGCTTGTCACTTTCGCCCAGAATCAAGTGTTCACGACGATGGAGGAGCAGACCACCGCGGACTCGTTTTCGTCATCGAGTCGCGTCACGTACGCGTCGTCCAACGACTTCAAGAACGCATCGCCGCAGTACATCGGCGGCAGCCCGAGCAGACCGTTCTCGCCAGCCGCGGAGCCGCAGCGACTGCCGAGCGTTCTGGAAGCTGCGATGAAAGCCGAGCCCAAAGTCGAGGTGGAAAGGTACGTGTTGATTTTTATCCAAAATGATCCGTGGCGCTCATTAGAAGCGTTGTTTGAGACGCGGACGGAAACCTAAGTCAATAGTCGGAAAATACCACTTTGCGGATACGAAGTGGCATCTAGTTTACTTTTGCTTTTCGAGTGCCTAATTTGTCGACAGCCGCTGTGTCAAATGTTAAACGTTCCCTTCCGTGTGGCCAAGAGCGTGTAAATTTGATTTATCGCAAAGAACCGCAGTGTTTAAAGAGACTTGGGAATCGATATTTACGCTCGGGATGCTAACGTAAAGTTTCTCGATTGCAGATTGCCCTCTCCATCAAACTCCCTGGACGATCCTCCGAGGTTATACATAGCCAACACATCCCGGCAGAATTTAGAGACGATTGTCGAAGCGATACGTCACCTGGAAGGTGATCATCTGTTCAGCGATGAGCCCGCGCAAGACGTTCCTTTGGCGTTGACTAACAAGCAACAACAGCAGCAACAACAAACAAACACGACATCGACGAAATCTGCTACCACGACGTCCTCTTCGCCTTCTTCCTGTTCCTCGGCGTCGACGTCATCCGCGACGTCCGCGAAGCAACGGATACTGAAGGAACACTTTCTTCAGTTTCACACGCCGCAACAGGCCCAACAGCGACCCGGCGTGATCGTGGTGAAGCACTCGTGATCTAACAATGCGTCACGTTCCGTGCACTGAACAATGCACCCAGAACGACGATGACGCACTTTCTTCCGCCGCTCGACATCGCCGCGGTTTTTATCGTACGGAAACGAGAAATCCCTTTCGGCTCACTCGGGAGAGAGCGAGCACTTGCGAAGACGCGGCGAGATACGGCGGCGGTGGTCATCGTGATCGCGTTCTTCTCTTAAAGAGAGAGAGACATAGAGAGAGGAAGAGGAGAGAAAAAGAGCAAGTGAGAGTGAGAGAGAGAGAGAGAGAGAGAGAGAGAGAAAGAAAGAGAAAGAAAGAGAAGAGAGAATGAGAGTGAGAGTGAGAGTGAGAAACAGAGAAAGAAAGAGAGAAGTGTGTGTGTTCTCCGTCTTCGTCGATCACCGATGATTATCGTGAGTCTTCTTCGTTCGGATTACATAACGCGAGGATGGATTTCACGTATGTTCCTACTGCGCGCTTAGCTCGCCTTCGCCTTGGAAGAAATGCATAAAGCATCTTGCGGAAAGAATCAACGAGTCGCGTTGTTTGAGAGAGAAGTCCGTACGATCGATAAATTTTTAGATAGAAGAGACAAAGCGATTTTAAATCGCGGATATATGTAGACCAGGCGAATGTAGGAGCCAAGCTCGAAGCTTGACGAAAGGATCCTCTCGTCGCCGATTCGTTCAAAACGACAAATATATACATACATATACATGTATATATATGTCGTTTTTCTCGATTTCTCGTGTAAATAACTGACGATTTCTCCCGATCGTTTCCGACGATTACCACGAGATCGTTTTGAATCTCGAAAGGTTTTCCCTCCCTCCCTCCAAACCCTACGAGGGAAAATCCGTTTTCCTCACACTAAGCGCGAAACGGACGTTCTCTCGCTCGTTTTAGTAAGTAACTTTTTTTTTTCTTTTTTTTTCTTTTTTTTTCTTTTTTTTTCTTTTATAGATTTAATAAGCGGATAAGAAAAACTACCACGATAATATTCCTAGCGAATAAGGCTGCGCGTAACACTGTATGATATATATACATATATTACATTCATATATATTACATGTAAAGAATATAAATAACATATACTTACGCGCGCGCGTATTCTTTTTTTACATTGTTACTAAAATGAAAAAGATAATGCGAGATAACGCGACGCGAGAAAAGAGATATTAAGATATTAAATAACGACGCGTAAAAAAATATACATATATATATATACACATATATATATATATATGTTCTTTCGATACTTATTACGGGGTTACCACTGGACAAGCGCGAAGCGATTAAGAAGAAAGTCAACAACCAGTAACAAGATTTAATCAAAATATATCCGCACGCAATACTTAATTACTTGACATCAGGATCAACGTTGGTACGACGTTGTCGGGACGGCGGAAACTGGGGCTCTCTCGCGTTGACAAATCGGGAGACGTCCCGGTGCACCTGCACGCGTGTGTCTTGTGCATATGAACTCCCTTCTTCTGTGTTCTCATTGTATATCGAGACGTTTCGCGAGTTGAAAATTCCGTTTAATCTGTGCCAAATATCCCAAGAGAGAAAGAGAGAGAGAGAGAAAGAGTACCCACACATGTTTTTGTTCCTTTGTAGTAAATATATAATATGCGTAAGGTGTGAGATAAGAGAAAACCGGTCGATATATCCAGTAGGATTAGCGTCTTTTCGACGGGATCGCTCGTCCCCTCTATTTTACTCGTCAATGCGATACGACGACCGAGTGAACGTCTGTCTTTTCGACAAAGCGGATTTTTCTCTCGATCGTCGCAATTTCCGTCGCGTCGTCGACCATCACCGATCTTCCCTTATATATCGGACTGGTCATCAGCGTCGAGGGAAAACCCGGACGATGATCTCTTTGCATCGACCGTCGTGTCTCGCGACCGTTTCTTAACTCCGACGTATATGACAAATATACATTACACGAGATTTTTCTACGCGACATACAAATTTCTTAAAGGCTTTGCGGAACACGAGACTCAAGAGGCTTTGGAATTTACAATTTCTTGTGCCTTTTCGAGGCGACGAGCGATTCAGCGATTTCGAACAAGGTCGACCGATCGATCGACCGGCGATGAGTCTGAACGTTTTTTTTTGTTTTTCTTTTTTCTCGTTTTCTTCCGTTTTTTCTTTCACGTCTACACGCGTCTGTGTATTATGTGCGTTTAACGTTTATGTTTACTTTTCTTCCATTTATGATATAATCATTTTCATCGAGTGACCGTCGTATTGTACACACAAGCGTGTATCGCTCGCGAAGTATAAGGCCCGTAGACCAATTTTTAACCGATTATACATTAGTACGGATCCTTTCACCCGTAATTTACAATTATTATTGCTACTATACTACTATTACTACTATTGCTACTTTTTTTTCTACGATATGACAATGATTAATGAGCGACGTAAGTTTAAGAGTTTAATGCGTAGATTATATGCCTACAAGGAGATAATTTTAAGTACTTGTTTAGAGAGATATGTGCGTAAGGTTACGTTATAGGTGAAGCGAAGATGCGCGGCGGTAAGATAGAAGAGCATTACAATTAAGATCTTTAGTTAACCTTCTTAGCAATTAGGGTAAACGTAGGAATTGTTTAGCCTAGTATATATATATAAATACATATATATATATATATATATATATACATAATGCAATTTGAAATATATATACATCCAGGGGTTAACATTGTCTATCTGTATGATAAATGTGACGCTACTTCGTAACTGTATTTGCGTGTATATAAAAAAATACCTTTTAGCAGATATCGCACATTATGTAAACACACATTGATCATCATCTAGCTAACGTAAAGGGGGAAAAAAGAACGAATGAAATAGGGTAAAAAAATGTAAAAAAAAAAAAAAAAAAACACACAAACAAACCACGCCTTTCGTACTTTTTGTCCGCGTCGTTTTTAAACGAACGATGCCCCTCCCCATTTTGTCGGCGCGTGTATTATCGCATATTTTTTTATGTACCATTTGACGTTTTCACCGCGTTTGATTATTTTTTTAATACATACGCAGGAGAGATTCAAGGACTACGTTAAGTTTTTTCGGATTAAAAAAAGGACATCACGTTTCTCAACATATACACGGAAACACACACAATCACTTCCGAAACGTACGAGAGGCGTTTTTATACACATAGAAGTTTACGATTCTTATCTTAGGCTTTCGACATTCGCGATGAAAGTGTGATTCCGCGCGTTATTCTCCGTGGCGGATCTCTCGAAGGTAAATGTACAAAGCTCGATGTCGACGTTCGCACGCGAGGACGCACGAGGGCCTAAAAGGAATAGTAGAAACAACAACAGCAACAAAAAAAAAAGAAAAAATATTCGTTTCCGTCTTTCGTATTTTTCCTATAATTCTCCCCCGCGGTAATACGAAGATCCCACAGCATTTACACGTATTTTCTCTCGCGCATCATCGCGTCACATTTTCCTCGGTGACGAAGCACGCGGGTGTGACGCGACGCTGTCTGAAATTCGACGATGTCGACTCGATTGACGAAATCGCCGGCAAGATTTTCGAAGATACAAAACAAAAAAATTACGTACGTTGTTGAGTTGAATGCAAAGGAAAAAATAAATTTGTTTTCTCACGCGAGTCCGATGTATGCGTCTCGTTTTTCCTCGTCTGATTTTGATAGTTTTTTTTAGTTTTTGTTTTTTTGTTTTTTTTTTTCGGATATCTCGTGCGAGTATCTTCGGCGCTTCCATAATACACACATACACATATTTATA